GCACTCATTGTTCTTCCAGGGGACCCAAGTTCAATTCCAAGCACCCACATGGTGGCTCATAATTGTCTATAATGCTAGTTCTGCGGTATCAGATGCCTCTTTCTGGCCACAAAGCACACTTGTACACAGGCGAAACACTCGTGCAAATAAATTATTTTTTAAAAAATTCTTTTAAGTATAACCAGGAGCTGGAGAAATGGCTCAGTGGTTAAGAATGAATGTTGACTGCTTCCACATCAGACCTGAACCTGGTTCCCAGCACCCATGTCAGGCAGCTCGTAATTATCTATAACTCCAGCTGCAGGGGATCTGATGCTTCTGGCTTCTATGGGCGCTACTCTTCTCTCATTCTCTCTCTCTCTCTCTCTCTCTCTCTCTCTCTCTCTCTCTCTCTCCCTCTCCCTCCCTCCCTCCCTCCCTCTCTCACACATACACACACACACACTAAACATAATAATTGTGATATCAGTATACTAACAGACTAACAAACTAATAGAAGCAGATCAAACACGCACACACATAGAAATAAGTAATCAAGACTAGTCATCAATTGATACTGGTTGAATATTTGGAAATGTCTATATGGGAAAACCGAAGCTAATCAATTCAGATAGAGTGATAAAGGCAAGAGGGAAGCTTCTTGACCAGCAGTAGAACAGGATGTGCCAGACTATAGGTTCTCAGTACTTTTTCCGTCATGAGGGTCCCAGGGATGGAACTCTGGCTATCAGGCCTGGCAACAAGCACTTTCACCTACTGAGGTTCAAAAACTGACTGAAAATTTTACTTTACAAGTCAAAACAAAAGATGGGAGAAAATATGAAATCTAAATACTCAAGGCACCACCAGTAAGTATGGTTACATTGAACTCAAGTAACAATTTCAATTTGGTGCATCAGAATCTAGACACATTTCACATGAGAAGAGTCACATATGGCTAGCGGCTGGCTGAGCAGATAACACAGATATGCAGTATCTTTCTCTGTACAGTCTTCTCTTTGGATATGGCTGGTTTAAAATACAAAGCACATTTCTAAAACAATTCAGTAAATAATGCCAAGGAGATATTTATGGACCTATCCCCCCACCAAAAAAAAAAAAAACACAAAAAACTGGTATAGTACTTGTCTACCATGCATGAGATCCTGAACTCAAAAAATAAGTTTTGTACACTATAAACATGCAAAAGTCTCTTCAAGCAACTTATAAGATCCCCTATTAGATAGCTTAATTTGACAAAAGACTAAAAACCAGAAATTGAAAGGATATACCTCCTCAAATCTGCAACTCTGTCCTAGAAGAGTAACCCAAGGCCACCACTGTGAGGGCAGCTTGTCACTCTCCGGGCATCCTCAGTGCTAGGCTTGAGATGTGATTCTCTACTAAGTCTAACAGTCCCTCCCTGCCTGGCCACCACTCAGGGCTAGAAGCACATACAGACATAAATACAACACACAGTCCTGCCTCCCAGCACTGAGATGGCGACAAAATAAAGTTCCAGTGGTTAAAGGGAGTCCGTAAGTGGCATGCTTGCTAACAACCAGGAATTAAAACTTACAACGAGCCTAACTGTAGGCGCCATACATACTCCTAAAACAACCGAGGGAGCAAAAGCAGCAAGATCCGAGAATAAAGACAAAACACTGAAAAGTCATGTAAAGAACAAAAGCAGCCACGCCAAAAATTAATTTGGGGGTGTGCAGGATACACCAACTTGACACAAGCTAGAGTCATCAGAGAGGAGAGAATCTTAATTGAAAACACATGCCTCCATAAGACCCTGCTGAAGGACATCTCTTAGTTAATGATCAATAGGGGAAGGTCCAGCCCACTGTGGGCTGGGGGTGCTGCGTTCTGTAAGAAAGCAGGAATAAGCCTGCTGTAAGGTTCTGTAAGAAAGGGGAACAAGCCAGTAAGCAGCACCCCTCTATGGCCTCGGCCTCTGCTCCTGCCTCCAGGTTCTGGCCCTGTTTGAGTTCCTGTCCTTACTTTTAAACAATGAACATTGATCTGAAAGAGTAAGCCAAACAAACCCTTCTCTCTCCAACTTGCTTTATGGTCAAGCAATGACATTTTGTCGCAGCAATAAAAACCTTAACTAAAAATAGCAAGGTATAGAGGTGCAACCCTTTAGTTCCAATGCTAGGAGGAAGAGGCAGGCAAATCTCTGTGACTTTGAGGACAGCCTGGTTATACAGTGAGTTCCTGGCTAGCCAGGCTATATAGTGAATAAGGTTACCTCTGAGGACACCCTCTTTGGTAGGTTGCTAGATTGATATGTATTTTAATGTAGCTCCATAAGGCATATCTGTTTTTGCTCACAAATTTTTTTTTTGAATACTGGGTATACTCTGATATTTTGGAGGACAAAACTAGTTACTAGTTACTAGTCAATTAGTTACTAGTGCTCTGAATTTCAAAGGAGATGTAAGTGTGAATGACTGTGGTGGAAAATGTTTAATAGAAGAGGAAATAGGCCAGGTGAACATGTTCCTGTAAAAATTTCCTCTGGGTATCATCTAGTACCATAGGGATTGCTTAAAATTTTATTTTAATTATTATTACTGTAGACAGGGGCCTTGGGTGTGTTGGTTTGTGTCATGTGTGAAGGTTAGAAGACAATTCTGTAGAGTTGGTTTTCTCCTTCTACCTTTGTGTGGGTTCTGGAGATCAAACTCAGATGATCAGAATAACAGGGCAAGTTCCCTTAGCTGCTGTGCTATCTTACCAGCCCCTTGTATAGTTAGTTCCTGATTAGGACTTTCTCTTTGCTATAAAAGGGGAGAAACCATAGGGAAATTGTCTCAGTGAGGGTATGAATTTTCAGAAAGCATGTAATTGTACACCTTGATTGTTAAACAGATCACAGTGCTGAAATGATCAAGAAGTCATGATATAAGCCGGGCGGTGGTGGTGCACACCTGTAATCCCAGCACTTGGGAGGCAGAGGCAGGCGGATTTCTGAGTTCGAGGCCAGCCTGGTCTATAGAATGAGTTCCAGGACAGACAAAACTACACAGAAACCCTGTCTCGAAACCCCCCCCCCAAAAAAAAAGAAGTCATGATATAGAAAAATTTCGGGACTTGTATGTATTGAAATTTAGGTGAAACAATTATAGAGCAATTTTCTCCTGACCAGAGAACCTCTTGACCATGAACCCTCTTGCTTGGGTTACTTCTGGGAGGCAGAGTAGAGAAGCTAGAGTAGTTATTGATAAGTACATCTTCATCCAGCTTAGGAAAGAACAATTTGATGACTAGGGAGAAGGTACGTGAAGACAACATGTGTTCGTGTCACACTGATTTTTGATTTTTGAAAAACAATTTCATAGAATATAGATGACTTGTTTGACCTCTTGGAGCCTCTGATTCCTCCTCTTTGGTAGGACAGTCTGCTTCTGAAGCTTATCTGTCAAATACTAGCCATAATATATTGAAATCCACCCTGCCAGTGTTCTGTAAGTGCTCTGTCAGTTGCTATAATTCCTAACAATTATACTGAAGGCTTCCATGCTTGCTCATAGCCGGTTTAACAATGATGTCAGCCCAGGAACACAAAACAGCTGCATGCTCGGAAACAGCCCACATAAGAACTTGTATCTGTTACTTCAAGAAAAGAGGCTTCAAGTGATACCCCAGATCACATTCTTTAAAGGGTTATCAAATAGCTGTTGTCTCCCAAAAAACGTCTCCTCTAACGGGCAGGCTTTGTGTAGAAATCGTAGTCCATAACAACTCTTCTAGATTCAATGATTCTGAAGTGCCTTCCGGCTCTTGGGAATAAACTTAAGTCCAGACTTAGGCAGACAAGACTCAGTGTGGCACGCCACTACAGTTTCAAACTCTTCATCCTAACGATACCTAAACTAAGAAAGACTAGACATGCATCACCATCTCACCACTTTAAAGTGACTAAAATTAAGGTCTTTTCCTATGAACAGGAAATGCTGAACCTAGCCCACAGCTCTCTACTGTAAATAGATAGCTAGCTTATAATAACTTCATCCCGATGCAAAGCCTTTCTTCTGAGAAAGCACTTTTAAAGCACAGATCGGGTCAAGCTGTCTCTGAATAAAACAACAGAGGGACCTGGACATTTGCATCATTATGCATTTTATTATGTTTGTCTTTTAATGCAAGCCCTCGGCTGCATTCTGGTTTTTAGCATAGTTCTGGTTCTCACTGAAGTTTCAAACCTAGCTTTAAGTTACTAGTCAACGGTCACATGCTGGAATGAAGTTGGTGGATTAACTGAAATTAAAGCCTCCACCCTTCTCAAGCACCCGCTAATTATTTATGTTCAAGCTCACCAACACCATGCTTTAATGCAGGAGGCAGCTCACTCCATGCTAGCTATAAACAAACAGAATCTGGCCTTTTAAGTATCTTGACTGTATAGAGCACTGAACGAGGAAGGTGCAGGGGCGGGGAGAGAATTCTAGAAAGAGGAAAGAAAAAAGCATCACAAGGCAGCAGCTGTTTCAATGCCAGAACCTTCCACCAAGATGACCCACTTCACGTTGTTCGCCCTGGTCTGACCACTTCATTATCAGAACTTCACGAGGCAGATATTAGGATTCTCTTACACAAACTATATTGTATATAAACTGTGGGTCAAAAGGGGCTGGGGAGGACTGTTTGCCATGACCAAAAAGGACATACAGATAGATGCCAGACGCCAGAATGGGGAGTCTGAGTATAAAGCCCAGATGCTTATTTTCTGCATTAGACAAAAACATATTTCGATATTTTTAGATTTAGGGAATTCAAAGATATTCATAACAAAAGGAAATGTTTCCAAGATACATCAGGAATGGTTGTGAACCATCAGCAAGTTCTCAGCACCTGAATGTAAGGGTGTCACTGTCATGCAGGGAGAGACTCTATACAAGTAGGATAGGTAAGAGGCCAACCTCTAGTGAGGACTGCTGGGAAGGAGCAAGGGAGCCCCGTGGAAAGGCAAGGCAAAGCCAGGGAGCACCCAGGCCTCGGCTCCTTACCTGCTGAACCTCACTCTCTCCATTCGAGATCTTCTCTGTGTAAACCAAGGAGTTGAAGATCCTCTGCAACAAAAGAGAAAAACGAACATTAGATTTTCTAAGGAAGAGTCACTCTCTCTATGTGTGTGAACGGTTTGTTGAATACAGCATAAATAGATTCAAATAGGAAAAAAATCTTAATTAAAAGACTGCGATTTTTACAGAGAGAGACCCAAATATCAGCCAAAGTCAATCACCCGTATTTATTTAAGCATTACCCAGGCACTATAGTGAAATAAACCAGATGTTACACTAGATTTTTCATTTTCAAAAATACATTTAATTACAGATTTCCGGAGCCCATGCCATTTTATCTGGCTGCCACAGTCTGACAAAGTTGTGTTTCTCATTTAAATCCTGCACTCCCTGAATGCCGTAATTGTTTACAGACCCTAAAATCTAATGTAATAAAAACTCTTTGAAAAGAATTCCTTCCATGTTCTCTCATGTCCCCATCCAGCCGGTACCTACTCCGTATTATCTCACTTTCATTACTCAAACACCCCCTCAGGAGAGCAACAGAGATACTTGCCAAGTATGTGTGGCCCCAAGAGAAGATGCCGATTTTATGCCAGCAAAGATACCAGGCCAGACTGTGGCACATCGGTGGCGCACAGATTCTTCTGCATGCCCCTGCCTAGCTCAGTCACATCTCCTCCTCCACACACCCTGAAGTTAACATCTCTCTGTAGACTGGAGACTCAGCTGGAATATGTAACAAAAGTAGAAAAGGAGAAACCAGGCTGTGCGCACCTTGAGGGTGGGGGTGGGGCAGGGCGCGAGCCGCACCATCATGGGTTTGTCTTAAAGCTTTAAAGGTGCCGAGGAACTCTCTACATGAATCAGGAGTCAGACCTGAAGATGTCAGCCAAAGTTTTGTTTCTCCTCTCTATCCTGTTGCCAAGCATCTGTCGGCATCTGGGAAAGGATCCCAGACACACCTGTGTGGCTGTGGCAAGAAGAGTAATGCCAAGCTCATCAAGCCCGGTGCCCCCAGCGTGGAAATGAAGGGAGGACACATGGCAGGGGCTTGGCAGGGGGCAGGCGGGGGCAGAGGGTGGAGAAAGCAAACACAGGAGGACCGCGATGGAATTACAGCTTTGAAAATTATAATTATGAATCATCACGGTACCTCCCATCATTCCCCATGTGCCATGCTCATTCATTCAGCAGATGCTGCCTTTCCCCATTAAAAACAACCCTACAGGAGGAATGTTTTCCTTTATAACTTAATTATGTTTGTTTAGTTTATTTACTTATTCATTTCCTCCCAATTCCTTGTCTCTGTCTACCTCTCTGTCTCTCTCTCTCACTTTGGGGAGTTAGTTCTCTCTTTCTACCATGTAGGTCCCAGGAATGATACTTGGGTCTCTAGGTTTGCCAGTCAGCAGCTTTACACACTGAGCGGTGATCAGCCCAGAAATGTTTCCATGACTGTCTTGTAGTAGTGCTCATGACAACAACAACGCTGGTTAAGATCTGTGCAATGTTTACTCTGAGATAAAGATGCGAGCGTGCTGTAGCCACTCACACTTCTCCTTCTTCATAAGTTTCTATATGGCAGTCATTTGTTTCTTAAGAGGGGGGTTTCACTGTATATTACAGAATTTACCACATAGTCTAGGCTGGCCTTGTCCTCTGCCTTTATTTCTCTTGCCTCAGCCTCTTTAGTACTCTTCTATGTCTAGCTTAAATTGGTTTTATAAAACACCTTCCTGAAAGACACTATTTTTTTTTTAATTTTCTTTTTATTTACACGTATGTAGGTATGCCTGTGTGAAGGTATATGTGTCTGAGTGCAGGTGTTCTTGGAGCCCAGGTGTTACAGCAGCTGTGTGGCACCTGCTATGAGTGCTGAGAAACAAACCCAGGTCTGTACAAGTGGGTCCCCCTGGTACTCTTAACAGCTGGGCCATCTCTCCAGCCCTGACAGACACTATTGTTATGCCAATAGACAGAAACAGAATCCTAGAGCAATGCATTTGTAGTCTTCCTGTGCCTATTTCTCAAATGACTATACTTATAAAGACAAGACCAAGAGCTTTCTTTGGAAGCTTAAAAAGTTGATCAAAATCACTCAGGGCAAGGCTGGAATTTGAAGCCAGGCAAAGTGGCTCCAGAGCTGACACTCCTGATACTGTGTGTCTTGTTAGGATTTGCTTGCTGGTTATGTTTTGCATAACAAATTTGTAACCAAGATATGTCAGGCCTTTGCCTTAACTGGCAGCAAACCCTAACTAGAACTAGTGCTTATTTATAGCACTCATTAATCCACTAATCAGTCATGGTTCACACATAGCATTCTGTTCCAGATGCCATTGGTGGTCATTTTACAATCAAGGGGAATTAGGATTCTGAACCCTAAAGCACATCTCATTTTTGAAATGAAATTATGGGGCTGGGAATGTGGCCTAATGACCGAATACCTGCCTAATATGAGCTCTAGATTCCATATTCCATACCACACGCCCCAGGAGATAAAATGGGACAGGTGGTGTGTGTGTGTGTGTGTGTGTGTGTGTGTGTGTGTGTGTATGCACGTGCATGTGTGCACGCACGTGTCTGCCATCCCTGCAGTTCTAAGTTCCCAGTTCTCCAAAGCCTAATTCAAATATCATCACTCACTGTGAGCCCAGAATGTATTCTAGACTTTTTTTTTTTTTTTAGAATTTCCTTTTCAAAAAGATGCTCAGTTAATTTTCATTAAAAATTAACCTAACTGGAGCAGTGGTTCCAGGTCTTGGTAAACATACTCACTGTCTTCCTCTACCATAGCAAGGGTACCACAGTGGGAGGCTCCAAGGAGGTTGATCAGATCCACTGTGCTCAAGCCAACACTTTCAGTGGCCAAGTGTGGTGTTCCTTCCTTCTTAAGAGGAAAGGGAATTAATAATAGTTCTAAGGACGCTTCAGGGCTAGTTCACAAGATTACTTCAATTTCTATCAAGCTTGTGATTTTTAACAGCAATGGGGCAAACTGGTATTGGGTGAGGCAGAATTGAGATAGGATTTCTCTGTATAGCCTTGGCTTCCTGGAACTCACTTTGTAAACCAGGCTGGCCTTGAACTCAGATCTGCCTGCCTCTGCCGCCCGAGTGCTAGGATTAAAGGAATGTGCCACCACTGCCTGCAGGGATAGTATTTTTATGTAGTTCATTCTTTGACTTGCAAAGATTTCTATATTGTCTATACCTAATACATTTATGTTGATAAGAAAAAAATAACTAACCAGTCCTAGATGTGTGCAGTAGTGATTCGGTAGACTCTGAATTGAGCACACTCCTCTAGCCACCACAGGACTGAGTGACAGGGTTATCATCCAAAGTAAACAGTCTTCAAATCTTTCCCCTGGTGCCAACATTGGGGACTAGCATGAAACATCAGTGAGAGGCCAGAAGAACATATACAAGTTACAACTGGTACAAAAATTAAAAGTTGGCTTATGTGTGTGTATTCAAAAAAAAAAAATCACACAATACAGAGCAATTTTCATCATGCTTTAAAAGAGCTATGCTTTAGCTGGGAGTAGGAGGAGCTATGCTCTAGCTGTGGGGGGCGGAGCTACGCTGTAGCTGGGAGGAGGGGGAGCTATGTTCTAGCTGTGGGGGAGGGTTGTGCTCTGGCTGAGGGGGGAGGGTTGTGCTCTAGCTGGGCAGTGGGGGTAATAAAAAAGAGCTATGCTCAGCTCCCCAAAGCTTACAATTTTTATGGCTTATAATTTCACATCAATTACTACACTTAGTCTTCATAATTGCTTGTGTAGGCAGGGCCAGGTATTTTACAGATTTGAAAACTACTGCATGAAAGTTAGGAACTATGTCCCAGGTAAAAACTTGAGGTGCTGAAGTCTGAACCTAGGTCTTGAATTAAATACGAGCTGTGCACTTAGCTGAGCTATCCAACAAACTTTGTTCACATCACCTTGCTGGTTAGAATGATCTAGGAGTCCTCTGCAGAACCTGGGCTCGGGGCATGGGTGGCGGAGATGAAGCCCATGGAAATGTGAGCTGTTCCTGCTTTATTTCAAGCAAGGTGTAAAATTTTGGGAACAATCAGAGTCCCAGACAGTCTCTCGTTCTCGCTCTCTCACTCTCTCGCTCTCTCGCTCTCTCTCTGGTGGGGGGGGGGGGGATAATGCAAAAGACAGGAATTCAAAAGTATGGAACCTAGCTGACATTTTGGTGACTTTGAGGTGAATGTTTCTTGGATATTAGAGGACCAGAAGGACTAAAGAACTAGAAAGAAATAGAACGTTTCTTGGTTCTTAGAGGATGTGGAAAGGAACTGTCGCCCTAGAACATACGACTGATGGGCATTCTTGACAGGTCGGAACCTTCTTTCCTTCCTTTGGATAAGTCACTTACAGTAACAATTGGGGGTGGGGATTAGGAAGTAGGGCTGCCATTCTGTACACCAAATTGTCACTTTCCTTGACCCTAGCTTTTGTTTTTTATTGGGTTTTTTTTTTTTTTTGAGACAGTTTCTGTGTAGCCCTGGCTGTCCTGGAACTCAACTCTCTAGATCAGGCTGGCTTCAAACTAAAGAGATCCACCTGCCTCTGTCTCCCAGGTGCTAGACACTCATGAACTCTTAATTTGACCACAATCCTAAGAAGCAAAAGTGTTCCTCGCTTTGCAAAGTCCTGGAAGTGAAGTGCAAAGACACTAGCTACCCGATCTCTCCCATTCCTCATTCCTGCTTTGAAACTTTCAACTATAAAAGTGAAAATATCTTTTATAGGTATGGAGACTTAAAGTTAGTTTTAAATAAAAATATTTCACTGAATCCCTGCTATCAAATTTATTTCCATAATTAAAAGAAAGCAAAAAATGTCTTATTTTGCTCATGGGATCTGCGTTAATGTACATGTTGCAAAGCTGACTGCATCATCTGAAGCCAATGACCCGACAACTCCCATCCTTGACAGACACTTGATGGAGATGTGGCTATGTGCTCACTAAGGCAAGTATATGGAGCATACAGGTGCCGGATTTCCAACAGCTCAAACCCAGAAGCAGCTCACA